CACAAAGGACTTTACCCTGAATATATAAACTCAGCAATTCAATAAGACAATCCAACTTAAAATCAGAAGACTTGGTGATGTACTTTATAAACAAGCACATACAAGTAGCCAATAGATGACCACACTTGGCGCATGCCTTAAATCCCAGCACTCAGGAGACTGAGGCAGGGGCACTGTCACAGGTGGTGGCCAGCCAGGTGACATAGTGAGACCTTGTCCCAAAAAACAAAACAAAAAAGCAGCCAACAAGTAAATAAAAAGATGTTCAACATTATCAATGTCAGGAAACTACAATAAAACCATGATGTGATACCACAGTACAGTGAAAAGAGTAATTAATTTAAAAAATAGGAATGACAAGCTTTTGATTCCTCTGCACGTTTTCCCGGAATACTGATTGCTAAGTAGAGACAGGCGAGTATTACTGTCTCACAGCTTCCCACTAATCCACCCCAGAATAGAAAGGCTAAATATTTGGTGAGTATATTTAAGAAATTACCAAACCACTTCAAAAGCTGTCGCAGCATTTGACCTTTCCCTGTGCGCTGTGTGCGAATCACACTGCCCTGCACCCTCCTCAGTAGTCTGGAGGGCCAGCACTTGAGTCATTTGGCATGGTGAGAAGCAGCCATCTTTCTACACGTGCTGAAGGTGGTCACAGAGGAGGTCACCAGAGAGAGTTCCTCCTCGCTCCCAGAGGAGACACCTTGCTCCTGCAGGCCCAGCCCTCGAAGAAAACCGTGCTGCCTAAGTAAGCGTGACCAGTGCACAGGTAGAACAAGTCTCCCGGGCTTTCCAGCTCCTAGGGTCTCTGTGGGCCTGTTCCCTAGCCCTTGAAGTGGAAACGCGTTACTCTTCAAGGCAAATCGCCTACTAACCTCAGGGCTTATCTTGTAACCCAGCTGCCAGTGAAATTTGTTCAAAAATGGTCAACTGTGCAAAAAGTCAAAAATCTTTTGCCTAGGGTCTCTTCCCGGCCATGCAAGATGGTTCAGTTTATTTTGATTATTCCGTGCTCGCAGCACATAACAACAAATTTATGGTGCAGAGCCAGCACACACACATAGCTCACTCTGACTCTTACTCTGTCCCCTTCCTCTCCCCTCCCTCCGTCTCTTGGTTCTCTTCTCTTTCGCAGAAGACCTATCTCCTTGCTTCCTATGTGGCCCTTTATTTTAGTCACACTCTGGGCTTCTCCTATAGGAGAAACCTTGCGCTGCGTAAGCTGTGCATCTGCTTCATCGCACTTAGGCTTACGGCCTCAAAGCACACCCTTTTCCCGCCAGTGACTCAAGGGCTGGCCCTCTAGAGTACTGCGGAGGGTGCGGGGCAACGCGGTTCGCACACAGCGCAGAGGGAAAGGTCACGTGCTGGTTTGGTAATTTCTTAAATGAAATGTGCTCACCACATACTTAGCCTTTCTGTCCCGGGGTGGAACGACAACTCAGGAAATACAAATATAGGGTGCCCCAAAGGCTTGAGTGCAAATGTCGGTAGCAACTTTCGTTGTAAGTTAGGTAAAAACAGTGAGGAAGACCAGGCTCCCATCCACGGGTGGATGGATGAAGAGGTCGCACCGGACCATGCAATGGAATACTACTAAGTCACGGGAAGGAACACACCACAGCTACATGCAGCAATGTAGAAGGTTATCCAAGTTACTTTGCTAATGATAGAAACCAGAGTAAAAAAATAAGTAGGCACTATATGATTACATTTATGTAAAACTCTAGAAAATGGAGAGTACTCTCAAATGATAGATCAGTGGTTTTTCTGGAGAGATGGGAGTAACCAGAGACAAACTACAAAAGAAAACAAGAAAATTGGGGGAATAATGAAAATGTGTATTGTCTCGATTTTGGAGATAGTTATATTGTAAAGACATAGGAAAACTGATCAAATGTCTGCTATAAATATGGGTAATTTATTGTACTTTAGTTCTTTTTTAGGGATGATTTTATTGGAAATAAGTAGAAAGATGCTCCTGGTCTTCCCTTAAGGAGAATCCTAAAAAGTGGAATTCAATGTTGTACTTCATTTCTATGTCAGTGCAATGTAAAAAAGTACTAAGACATTAAATAAATAATTGTATTAGGGAAACATGAGAAATTTAAATATATAAAGGATATATCATTACAAAGTCTAAAAGTTGTAATACCCACTGTATACTATAAAACAGAAAAGCAAATAGTTACAAAAGGTTTAATTAAATCTTGAAAAAAATGCCACACACATATAATTTCATTAATTTTAACTCACTTAAAATAGAAATAGAAATATCAATGATCAGGCTGAAGTCCATCTGGCTATTTACAGAGGAATATGGTGATATTTATAAAATAAATTGTATAAGTAGGTTTGATGAAACATTTTTATTGCTTAATAGCATCAACCTACACCCCCTATGTGTACTCACTTATAGTCCTTCCATAAGGTTTTTGACTCAGAAGAGTAAGCCCTCAAGAGGCCCCTCCCCTAACAGCATTTTCATAGTCTGCTGCAAATTACTGAAAATACTTCTAAGAAATCACACGCATTTCTTGAGCAGTATCACATAAGTTGAATTAGTCACTTAGTCTAACAAAAACTCCTCCAGTTCTCCCAAAGAACAAGAATAGCTTGGTTACCATGCACTGGTTCAACCACTACTCAACTGAACCTCAGAGCAAAGCTGTCTTGAGCCCCCGACCTCTGACCCCACTCTGGCCCATTCCCAGCAGAAGCAGCATGGCCCTAGCCCGGGTCTTCTGAGCCTTCTCCCACCATCCTGGCTTCAGTGAAAGCTGACTGACACACTGCTGAGGAAGACAGAATTCGAGGCCTGGTGTCAACAAAGCCAAGGTGAAGATCTTTCAGTGAGTGTCCTTGAAGTGTCAGGCGTGATGCCACTGACTGGGATTGTACCACTGCTGTGAATATTGAAGCTGTCTTGAAATGTATTACAGTGAGAGATGTACTGCCATTAATCCCACTAAGAACCTTCCCCCTGGCTTTGGGCACACTTATCTATCCCATTGTTTACCACTTTCTGCAGCAGCTCTGGAGGGCACTTTCCTGAGTTTCTTTAGTTGTGCTGTCCTGGCTGCCTCAAGGTCCTGAACTGATTCACAATCTTTCCAGCATTTCATCAGCAGTGAAGAGCCAGGAGTTGCACTGTGAGGTCAAGTGAGTAAAAGGGAGGAGGACACGATCATTTTTCTCAAGCTGTCTTTCCACTGCATGCCACTCACAACTGCATTCGCCATTGCTTTTTTATCATACCTTGCAAAGACACTGGCAAAGGAGGACTTCCAGAGCTGCTACAGAAAGGAGCCAAAGCAATGGGAGAAGCACCACTAAGGCAGGGTGGGGGTGGGGGTGAGGGTATGGGGGAGTCCAGGGGACTGCTGACAGCGTGCCTCTTATTGTAACAGTTTTTTACTTAAACATTCATAACATGTTTGCATCATGCCCTGTATGACACTGTAGAGTTAGAGTTGGAAAAAAGGACCTTTTTTCTTATTCTTTCAAGTGCCCTACTTTTACAGATTTAAAACAGATTTGAATTTTTCAGACTATAATTGTCTAAATACAAAATATACACATATGCTGGGACTATGTTCTATTTTCAGGACTGTCACTATCTAAAAAGACTTCCACAGCAAACCTGTCTGCCAAGTTCGCCTCTCCCTGCTCTTGCTTCCAAGAGCTGACGCGTGGTCCTCTGGCCTCCCATCCTTCCGTGGTGTGCCTTCCGCAGGTCCATCCTCCCAGGAGCTCCTGGGGGTTACTTCCCATGTACGACTTCCTCACTGCCAGAGCAAAGGCATCTCTCCAATCTGTGCGGCTCAAAACACTCGGCACAGGAAGTCAGCAGCTGGGCCTGGAAGGCCTCACTTCCTGGGGAGCCTCCTGCTCACTTCAGTGGGGACCCTGTAATGCCCCTGCTCTCCTGAGCAGGACCCCAGGAGGGGCACTAGGGGTCATGGCCCAGCAGAATTCTAGGGTGGTGACCAAGACGACCAGCGCCTGCCTAGCTGCGCATCCAATGAAAAGCACAGCTTGGGAAGACTCTCCACTGGGGACCCAGGCAGCCTCCCGCTCTGCTGTAGTCACTTGTGGATGGTGTCACAGCTTTTAGGAAGGAAGGGAACGTTGCTGATATGAGTGGCACTCCATATGGCCTCAGAGCACTTACACAAACACATCTGGTAGGTTCCTTGCTGGATGCCCCCAAGAGCTTCCTACGGGTTCATCAAGGAAGCTTTTAGTAGGTGATTGGATTACGGGGGAGGAATGACTAGAGGTGATGTTAGGAGGTGGGGCCTGGCCGGCTGCTGGCCGTGACCTGAAGGCTGTGCCTCCTTCCGCAGCTCCTCCCACTCTCTGCTTCCTGTACACCATGGTGTGAGCAGCTCTCCTCCACCCGAGCCCTTCCACTGTGCCATTAGCCTTGGAGCCTGCTGACTAGGGACCGCAAACGTGACCAAAATAGTCCTGTCCTCTTTACATCATGGATGTGGGGTATTGTGTCCCTGTGATGAGGAGGTGACTAAGACCACATCCTCTTGTGCGATGGGGCCAGGACGGGGGACTTCAGACCTCAGCTCTACTAACACATACCCCATGAGCCTTCTCCAAGCCCCATACCTCCCAGAGCCTTGGCTTCTTTGCCTAGAACAGAGACAATGGCCTGTGGCTGGGCATGACTGCAAGAATAAGAGTGACAGGGCCTGTGAAGACCGCTAGTGGTGGAAAACAAGCAAGGCCCACTAGCCACGTGAATGGATGTTGTTATGGTCTGCATGTGCACTTCACCCAAAACCTCAGGAGACCAGGGGTGGGCTGGTGGACAGTGACTGGGCAACAGGGTGCCCCAGCTGAACTGTGTTGGGAAGGAGGGTCTGGGATGAAAGGCAGGGCCCTGGGGTGACCTGGAAGGGCCTGTCTTCCTCCCCAGTTCCACTCTCTCTCCACTTCCTGTCCACCATGCCGTGCACTGCCGTCCTCAGAGGGCCAGGCCAGGCCCTCTGCCATGTTCTCCTGCCTTGGACCCAGGCAACTGTGAGCCAAGCAAACATGAGCCAAAATAAAGCTCTCTCCTTTAAGTTCTGGAGTCAAGCATCACACTCCAGGCTCTGAGGGAAGCAGCTAAGACTTGAGACTTCACCGTCTCCATCTGACAAACGCCATCCTCCCGGTCCCGCTTGCAACGTCAGAGGCTAGGCTGGGCCTAGAAGCCAAGACCTCGCCCAGTGATCATGACGGTCTCTGAAGCCCAGTTCAAAGCTGTGTGGCCTAATTTTTCCTGTAAATACCCTAGTGTCGGGATAAGTGGCTTGGGGGCAGGCAGGTTGGCCTTGGTCAGAGAAGATTACTCCTGGCACTCAGCCCCCTTCCGTGCAACTGACCACAGAGAGCTCTGCATGGAGTTAATTAGACGCTGAGGAAAGGTCGGGAGCTCTCGCTAGCACTGGCATCTCTTTGACAGCCTTTGCTAGTTCTGCTGCAGAGGGACAAACAAATCTGGGAGGACTCTGGATGCCTAAACACAGGACTCCCTATGTCCCTATTAAGAGATACATATTCTAAAGAGCAGGACACTAAAACTCATAGTGTTAATCTAATCCAGTTGTACTCATCATCATGAATAGTTAAATGAGGAATAAAGTTCAGGAATAAAAACATGTTTCCAGTCAGTGTACATAAAAATACAAATACATACACACACACACACACACACACACACACGTGCTATTTTACAAAGCTTTTACCCATCTAAACCAGGCCAGAACAAATGTAAAGGGTCTTTCAAAAGCCTGCATTACAGCAGCAGACGCTGACAAGGAGGCTTATGGAACAGCGTGGGACAGGTCCGACTTCTTCCCCCGGGAAAACGTGTCACTGGAATGCAGAGGAAAGCGTTGGAAAGTGATCTGTACTTCAAAAAGGGGTACTTGTAAAACCGAAACTGTGTTATGTAAAACTGAAACTGATTATTCAGATTACACTGAAATGTCCCAAAGAATTCTCTGAAATTTGGCCCAAGACACCCTCACACACGGGCCAAGCCCCCCGTTGCAGTTTCAGAGCGCTCCCCCAGAGGGGTGTTCACCCCACTAGAGTGACACGTCTTCTCTTCACCCACTAGAGCACATGTGGTCTTGCCATGTGATCTCTTCCACGGTCAGACAAAATCAGCCTGATGGCTAACCTTCAGAGTTGGGAAGCCTGAAGTACTTTTCAAATGAGTGTGATATTCTGTTCAAACACTATTAGTACAAATTTTTCTTATCATTGAATTAAGAAAAATAGCTGTATATCTATCCTATTTTCTATGTACAGATACAAAATGGTCTTTCACTTATATTCCCTTTTTTTTTAGTTTTTTCAGAGATGGGTATTCCATTGTCATTTAAATATTGTAGGTACATGAATTCAGCAAAATAATCCAATATATTCCAGTAGTCCATAATAGTAGTGGGTTATCTGTAGGACTGGCAATGTCAGAAGTTATTGGCTTGAGCCTTTTACAGCTCGGCATATTAATACGGCTTTACTTTTTATACCTCGTTTTAATACTTTTCTGCTGGATGGTTAAGACATCTTGTACTACAAATAACCACTATGAAGACAACAACATGCAATATATCAATTATTGAAACTGTCCTACTAATCAGTTTTGAAACTGTCTTATTGCTATTTGTTTCTCAATAAAATTAATAAAAAATAAATTAAAATACAAAAAAATGAGTGTGATCAGACAAAGGATTACTATTGAGAACACATAAATCACTCAAAAAACAGACCCCCCCCCAATTTAATGACCCAATCCAAAAATGGCACTTGGATAAATACATGCTTCCCACAAGAAAAGGTAGAAATGGTGAATACACGCACGAAAAATGTCCAACATTTCTGGTCACTCAAGAGATGCAAATTAAAACACTGAGAGTCCATCGCACCCCAGAAAGAATGGCTATCACCCAGAAATCAGCCAATAGCAGATGCAGGTGAAGCTGTGGGGGAAAAGGAACCCTTCTCCGCTGTTGCTGGGAGTGCAGACTGCTGCAACCACTGGGGAAATCAGTGTGGAGATTTCTAAAAAGCAGGACTAGAGGCTCCACACCAGCGAGCTACTCCCCTTCTGGTATTTCCTGAAAAGGTTAAAAGCACCATATCACAGTGACATGCGCACATCCATGTTTATTGTGGCGCGGTTTGTAATAGCAAGTGCCTATCAGCTGGTGTCTGTATAAAGAAGCTGTGGGTTTTTATACAAAGAAGTACTACTCTGCCATGAAGAAGGATAAGCCTGAGGCATTTCTAGTTAAACAGATGCACCTTCAGACCATACTCTTAAGTGGAATAATCAGACATAGATGTTTAAATACCACATTGTTTCTCTGGTGGGCCAAAACGTGTGACAGATATGGTGAAACAGGAAAAAAAAATGTTAAATGAGGAGAACACAGGAGGAGAAAGGGAGAAAAGTTTTCAAAAGGTGAGAAAAGAAGGAAAAAATAAAAACAAAGCTTTTATAAATGGGGAGCATAGAGGGGTTGAAGGAAAGGTAGAGAATGGAAAAAAGAATCAAGTTAGTTACATCATGTGCAGGTACAAATTCTCTCTGACGAATGCGATCATTATGTATGTCTAAAACCTACCAATAAAATCTGATTTAAAGATAAATATTCATGACTCAAAAAAATGAGTCTGAGAATCCCAATTTTTAAAACACATTTTCCTCCAACTCATGATAATTAGCTAAGGGGTTCAACTCTTTTCCAGAAAACAACAACAACAAAAAAAAGTGTTTGAAAGTTAGCTTCCGATTTCTCCTCTTATTTAGGCACTAGACCCTTTTTCAAAAGTGAACATCAAGGCCACGGACAGAGGAGTCCAGTTTCCCTTTCTAAAGCGACAAAACATTGGGAGGCAGAGCGGACAGACAGCGAGAACCCTCCCAGGCCTCCCAGCTGACCCATCCTGAAGCAGAGACAACTCACGTGGCGCTTTCTTCACTGCAGTGGGAGTGGTCCGTGTCCACTGTGGCCTTCTGACCAAACGCCCGCTCTGTAAGGTCCAGCCAGGTCTGGTTCTCAAACGTAACTGTGATTCTTTTGGCCCAGAAGAGAATGCAGGGGATCCCATGGCGGGAGACGCGAATGGGACCGTCAGGGCTGAACGCACGTCCACCCGCGCTCTGGTTGGACTGCGGAGTCTGATCAACCAAATAAGAGAATTTAAGGGATGAATTCCACTCCACAGCACAAGGGCTCCCGAGAGGTACAGGGACAGCTCACTCCCACAGTGGTGGGTAGAGGCCTTGTACACGTATTAGAACCCTAAAATGTGCAACATAAAGTGGAAACCAATTACTCCAGGTCCAACGTAGACTTTATTTAGCTAAGAGTAAAGAGAAGGTACAAGAGAGGGGAGACGCCATGGTCGAATCATGATACACGCGCGATGGAAAGGTCACCGCGGTCCTCCACAGCTCATGTGCATTACTAACTATAGAGGCCTTCCTGGGCTTTGCCTCCGCCACCGAAGCTTATATTTCTAATCCCATGGATAAGACATTGGAATCCTGTGGGGCTAATTCCAATCTATCACATGTAGTGCAACCCATGGCAAGAATAAAGGCACTAAGGCATATTTGTGGTTGCGGGGAGCCAAGGGGTGCTAAGTCCAGCCACAGTGATGGTCATACAGATCAAAGGCCTTGACCCAGGGCTGAACTCGGGTTTTATTGATTCATGGAGTGGCGGCTTGCGGATGAGTGACCGTGAGAATGGTGGGAAGTAGGTGAGCGCCTTGAGCTGGGCTGGGCAGGAGCCTGCATTCCCCTCTGCGATACACAATCGAGACAGTATCTCATGTCTGGGGGTCAGTGCTTCAGCTCTGATGTGTGATCTTTCAAGCCCCAGGAAGCCACAGCCTTGACTGTGAGGCTCCATCCCAGCCCACAGCGGGAACAGGGCTTCTCTATCCCGCTTCAACTGGGCTCACATAAGGAACAAGGAGTGGGGGATTCCGGGAAGCATGCCGGCCACCTTCCAAGACTACATGTGAGCCCTTCGCTGGACAGGCATGCATTGTGTAAGGCCAGCTGGAGGGACAAGGAAAAGTCCTAGCAGCTGTGTGCACGTCACTACATGGAAACAGGCCAGGCTCAGCCAAGATGAGACACCTGCTCCCGCCCAAGGGGAGTGGCCCAGGTGGCCTCCACAACTAAGAGTCCCTCGGAAGGGGCGGCAGCAACCTATGATCACTAGGAATCAAACACAACCTGTTAATACAGTAAGAGCAATAGCTGTTTAAAAGTAACAGGGGCTATTGTAGTGAAAATATAAAAGAATAGGTACCTTACATTTTTCTCAGCTGTAAGACTATAATAATACATTTCCCCATTCAAAGTTAAAGAATATACCAATTGTTCATAGAATTAGTTTTTGTATTTTTGCAATAGCTTTGCTATAATTGTAACATTTTATTTTACTTTGTTTGAGACACTAACTATGTAGAATAAGCTGGCCTTGAACTCACTTATGTAGCCCACGCTGGCTTTGAACTCCTAGCAACCCTCCTGCCTCATCCTCCCAAGTGTGGGATTACAGGTGTGCACCCCCACTGCAGGCTATACTTTTTCAAGGTAGATTACAGTCTAATGTGCTGAGGTACTCATACCTGTGTGATCGGCCCTGCAGTGGCGGCCTGGACTGCCTCCATGTTTCCGTTCCTCTGTTCGTCTGTCAAGTAAATAATGTTGTGAATACCAAGGCTAAGTGCCATCAGCTTATTAACAGAATTGGGTTATAATGACGTTCTCAGTACTATAATATATATTACAAGTCTTACCACTGCTTATAACCATTTCCTTGCTTGAAGATATTTGAGAACTGAAAGTTAAAAGAAGAAAAAAAGAAATTTAAATGCTGAGCAAATATCTACAACACAGGCTTCACATGAAGCATTAAGAACTTTATTTCAGTTTATCATGTCAACACTGCTCATTTTTATTAATGATAAATTTCTAATCTAAAAGGCAATATATGTCATTTAAAAATACAAGAAAAAAACACAGAAAAAGGAAAAAAGTTAAATCAACTTTGATCCTTATTCACTGAACATTACAAAAAGCCCAATATTCCAAGCCATGTGCTAGAAACTGGTTTGATAAATAATAACAAAATATTAAATCATAAGAAAACTCTACAGTGAAATTTTATACTACATTGTATTACTTATATTAAACACAAAATAGCCAACCTTTAAATTAGTAAAGCAGATGGGTTTAATTGCTAAAAAGATATTTTTGAAAAGTATAGGAATAAAAATTAAGACATATCCTTTCCAGTCTCTACACATATAAACACACATAACATGCCACACGCACACAAAATTTACTTTTCATAAACCTGAGATATATTTTGTCATCATACTGGTCTAGATCCTGCAATTTGTACTTAAAACGTCATTAATATCTCATGTTGCTGTGCATTTTTCTGCTATGGCTATAACGCCACACGGTGCTGTATCGCCGCAGGCTAAGCAGGGCCGTGAGAACACCAACAACGGGAGACCTCGTGTCAGTCAGCACGTCGCTACGGTAGCCTAATGCCTGACACTGGCGATTGTGGAAGAAACATCAAGAGAGTATCGTTCTGCTCACGGTTTTGGAGGTTCAAAGCATAGTCCCTGCACTGACTCCGTTCTGGTGAGGTCTCCGCGGTTGGGGGCAGTGGGTAGCGGTGGAGAAGACGCCAGGCACAAGCTGAGAGCTCAGAAGCCCGGAAGGCAGGAAAGGCCTGGCCTTTCCCCGTGTGTGTGTGTGTGTGTGTGTGTGTGCGCGCGTGTGTGTGTGCGTGCGTGTTACCAGGGATTAAACCAAGGGCTTTTTTCCCCTCATTATTAACTTTATTGACTGGCCAGCCAAATAGCTCAGCAGATTAAAATGCCTGCAAGCAGGCTTATGGGCTGGGGTTCGATCCCCGGGCCTGCCATGCCGACCTCGCGCCCCAGGGCATACTGAGCCAGCAATTGAGATTGGGCGTGGTGGTGCGCGCCTATAATCCCAGGCAGATCACTATGAGTCCGAACTAGTAGTGAGACCCTGAACACCCTGTAGACCCTTCTCTAAAATACAGAGAAAGAAAAAAAAAAAAAAAAAAAAACTTCATAGAAAATCTGTGTGTGTGTGTGTGTGTGTGTGTGTGCGCGCGCGTGTGTTGAACAGTCTTGCGAAGCTACCATGCTGCTTGCGAAGGCTGAGCTGCGCGTCCTCTGGCCTCAGCCTCTGAGGCGCGCAGCCCAGGTGTGTGCAGCCACCTGCTCGCTCAGCCTGCTTGCGCCTTTATACTCGGCTCCCATGAGAACAGCCGGGGCACCGCCCCAGGGGACCGCGTACCCCTGCCCTGAACCCCTCCTGCCGCCACGCCTGTTCCGCCCAACCCTGCCACTCGGCCTTTAGCTTCCAGTCACAATGCACCTTTGAGGACGCTCAAAACACGGCACAGGGGAACACTGAAGAACAGCGACTCGCGTGGCGGCAGCACTCAGGAGGCCGAGGCAAGAGGATCACTGTGAGGCTGAGACCAGCCTGCTGGGGCACGAAGCCAGCTCCAGGCGAGCCTGAGCAGCGTCCGAGAACCAGGCTCAAAAAGGCTAAATAAACAAACAGCAACCAACATGCGCGTGCGACGCGCTACGCCTGTGTTTCCGTCTGCGCAGACACTGGAGGGGCTACAGCACAACCTTTCACGATTTTCAGAAATACCTTTTCAACAATTGAATTTCTCTTTTTTATTAATAATAACAGTTGGCTCTTCCAGGTTTAATATAAAAAATACACTTTAGTATAAAATTTCACTGTGAAATATATTACTATACTTTATTATTTGTTATTATTTATTCTTGCTTGAGCCTCAGCATCCAGCACATGGCTTGGGATGCCGGGCTCCACAATATTCAGTGAATGAGGATCAAGGCTGATGTTTTAAAATTTTCTCTTTTTTAATTTTTTCTCCATGTTCTATGTTTCCTTTGAAGTACATAGATTTCCCAAAGTTAGATTATGTTAAAGCGGGTACCTGTTTTATCAGAGAACATTCAAGTAAATACAAAATTATCAGTAAAAATACATTTTAAATCCCGTAGCCATGCCCACCATCCACCTTCTGTAATTATCAAGCCTAACCTATCTCGTCTCGCCAGTAGACACTTACCACGTCCATCCTGTGACATCATTGTGAGGAAAATATCAGAAATTACATCATTTTAACATATTTCTCTAAAAGATGTTTTTTAAAAATAACAGCATCATTACACCTATAAAATATTGATTATTTTTAACATTAGATATGTTATAATACATACGCAAAACATAGTTATAGCTAAAGAGTTACCAAATCTATGTCATAGTAAAGTACTTTAAAATTAATCATACAGCATCGATTACAAATTAAATGCACTATTCTCTTTGTAATATGATCTCTGATATCTTTTATTTTGTCTTTGTGAGGCAGGGACTCGCTATGCAGTTCAAGCTGGCCTTGAGCTCACTTTGTAGCCCAGGCGGGACTCAAAATCACGGTCATCCTCCTGCCTCAGCCTCCTGAGTGCAGGGAGTGCAGGTGTGAGCCACCGCGCCCAGGGATAGCTGCTATCTAATGAAAATTCATGAGGATGACAAATTGGAAGCAATAGTCTATGAAGCTGCCCTTAGCAAGTTCATGCCTGAATGCAATAATCCATTTCTATCAATTTTATTGCCGTATAATTTTTATGCAGAACACCGCATCTATGCGAAGCACATAAACCTATGAGCCCGGCACGGCCACAAGCCCCCGACCCCACTGCCTAGCGATGCACAGCATTTCTCTTAATCATAAGTTTCTCCAAGCATCCTGGCAGTGGACAGATGGTCCCTGTACCTCCAGCTCCAGGCAAGTAGTGACCTGCTCTCTGTCACTGTGCATTCTGTCATCCGCATGCCCCCGAGTGGCGTACTAGCACAATTACACAACACGCGTTCTCTAGTGCTTGGCTTCACTCCATGTTAATGAAATCACCTTGAAACGAAACAAACGCGTATTGTTGCATGCATCACGGGCTCACTCCATTGTGTGACTAACCTACGTCATTGTATGGTAGATGGTAGTTTATCTGTGTACACTGATAGACATTTAAGGTGCTTCCAGTTTGGGATGACTAAAAAGAAAGATTAAGGGATTTGTATGCGCAGATGTTTCTGTGTAAGATGTTCTTGTATCGTAAGTCCCTTTGCCCATTGAGTTAGCCTGAAGCAGTCACCTGAGGCGAGTCACATCTAGGAGCGCTAAGAAATTTAATGTTCTAAATGTACGCATAAAACTACCATAGACAGACTTAGTAGCCGAAATGTCTCTGCCAACCTAAGCCTCAGACTCTACGACGCAACCTAAAGTGTCCCTGAATATATGGGAGAAAATGAAGCCCAGACAATAATGCTTAGAGCGCTTCAAGCTTTCTAACAACACATTCACACAAATATTTTTTAAAAGTCTTTAATTTGAACTTTCTTCACACCTTATATTTCATGATTCCAAGTTACAGATCCAGTTTTTAACTATTTTAACAAAAGCAGAGAAAATAGTGAGCTATATTTTAACCAAATAAGGTAAAGTTCATCAGGTCAGCCAGAAATGTCTAGTTATGGGGATGGAGTAATGTTTAACGAGCATAAATGAATGAGTGAGTGAGTGAGCTATGTAGCACTCGCCCACTTTGCTCTCCTAAGGAAAATTTTCCTGTGTTCACTAGCAAAAAGGCTTCTAGCTGACAAAACAGCCTCACTGTCATTTCAGGAGATCTCTGTTCTGCGCCCACAATGCGCCTGTTATATTTCCCTCTTAAGTAACCGTAACTCAGCCAGGCTCTGCACGCACTCTGCGCCGACGCTCGTGAGATTTCGCAGGAAGCCATAATCTCAACCCACACAAGGTACACGTGCATGCTCACGTCACTACGTGGTCTCTGAACTGCAGCCGAAACTACAAATCGTCTACTTAAAAATGTTCTGTGTGCATACACAGGGAAACACTGCCTACACACAATAAGAGATTCCACCTCTTTCCCAGTAAAAATTATTGCTGCAATACTTGAAAAGGCATCAAGAGCCTTGGGCTGGCAGTGGCGAGGGCCACAGGTCATATGACGGCAGGTGTGACTGAGCTCCTTCGTGGCCCTCCTCAGGAGAAAACCACATCCCCATGCTGGCCCCCAGCCCTCGGCTGCCCAAGCGTTCTTGCCACCGCTGGGCTCTTCCTCCTCCCTGCTCCAGCCTCACCAGCACCCCTCCCTTCCAGGTTGCTGCCCGGTCATTCCTTCCAGAACATTCTCTGTCCTCTAGCGCTTCTCTGCACAGCACCAGGCCCAGCACAGGTCTCCCTTGCTCTGCAAGGCAGTCCCTAGCTCCTCAGAGGACTTCAGAGCCCCTGCAAGGGCCCGTGCCTCCCCTGGTTCCTTTCCAGACACATTCGAACTTTACTTGTAACAGAGCTATCCTGTTGTCGGGACACTGCCCACCAAGGTGGCCTTCGACACAGGGCTGCTGTTCTGTCCACCACTGCAGACTCAGCACAAGTCGCCATTCCTGAGAAATGCCAAGCATTTTTTAAATGTGCTACATTTGGGAGCAAACTAATAAATTAACCAACTCTGATACCAAAGGGGAATATGGGAGCTTGCCCAGGATTGCCTTTGCTTCAAGGATAAGCCTGACCTGAGGGAGGAGGAATGTGAGAAGAGTAGTGGTGAGCGCCCAGGCTCCCCAAGCTTGGGAAACATGTCGACCTTCAAATACAATCACACTTTTCAATGGCTTAAGAGTCCTGAGAGCTGTATGTAGCTGAAAGACATTTTTAATTTCAGACCCATGACCTGAACAAACATTCACAAAATAGCTATGGTGGTTTCCCTCCATGTCAGTTAGCACACCATATTATTAGACCTGAATGGTCATTCCTCTGTGTGATTTCTAAGAGCTAAAGTTTCTTAAGCTAAAATTATTTAAGCCTATTAACCCTCCCTTAAAAAAGAACCTTGGTTTTTATAGTTCTTAGTATGCCTTTTGCCAGTATAATACACAAATCAGTCATTCCTATATATGTCTGCAGGGAAACATGAATAAGCCTTCACCATCTAAGGAATTTAGGTCATTTACTATTTAAAGCCAACCTGAAGGAAAGAAAGCACCAACTCATTTGGAAGCAAGGGGGGACAAAATTTAAAATGTGCCTATGTCTAACTTTTCTCAGCTGCTGGCTTACAGCTCCCTTAGGACAAGGGCAACCAGGTCAGCCTGCTGTGTTCTTGTCACCCCGAACTCCCAGGTGCATCTGATGAGATGGCACACGACGACTAACAGGGAGAAGGGACATAAATTAGCTGCTATTCCGATGCCCAATGTGTTTTACAGATACATCTCTACATGCTCCCTTATAAGGCAGAGAAAGAAAACAACATGACAACCGAAGTAGAAACTTGGCTTGTTAATTATAAACACTGCGTCTCCTCCACACTTGCCATCTGATACCAATTAGAGGGACTTAGCACCTCTTCATTGAGGAACAGGTAATATAATTTCTGAGATTCTAAATAATAATGCTGGGAGAAACTGACATTAACCCCTATTTGTAAATATAAAAGAAACCTCAACTTGATTTGGAGTCATTTCCTGTTAGCCATATACTTTGATACATAAAACAGTATGTCTTGGGTATTTGAACAAATAACCCTTGCACCTTCAAAATTCTCTTTGTAGGGGCCAGGGAGATGGCTCAGTGGAGTAAGTGCTTCCCTGGCCAGCACAAGGGCCTGAGTTCAATCCCCAGTTCTGAAAAAAAAAAATCTATTTTTAATCTCTGAATTATAACCTATAATTTAATCATTGCATTAGCTGACTGTATGGCCTAACCTTGCTTATTCTCTCCTGAGCCATAAACAAATGTAGCTATCCAACAATATAAAGAAATTTCAGAACCAACATTTCACAGTTACGCTGAACTTCCCAGATGTGCTGCCTTAAAAGATTTGCAGCGTCAGTACTCACCTTCCATGCTTCCTGGCAAATATCTGCTCCAAAGTTAGTGAAAACCCCATGCATAAAAAAAGAACTGAACAAACAAACAAGATTTTTCTTCCCATCAAGAAATGAATGAGCTTCTTCCAACCAAGCGCATCTGTTAATTCATCATGCAACCAGTTCGGGCAGGGCTGGGCAGGCCATGTGACTGGCAGCATGTTCAACCAATGAAAGGTCAGCTTTCCTAGGCCGCCCAATGTGGAGGAAGAGGAGGGAGGAACCCGATAAGACTTAGTTTAGAGTATGGGAGGAAACCAAAATCTAGATTTTTCAGTCATTAAACTCGCTGAGAGAGCACTGAGGAGTAGATTGTTGGAGAAAACGTATTTTCCAGGTAAGGTCTTTTTAGACAAGTTACACTGTTTTGATACTGCCTCGTAACTTTTACACTACTTTTCAGGAAGCTATTAAATTTTCCCCCAAGTCTGTGAAGCGTATCCTTTTACATACATTTTTTTTCAGTTGAATAAGTCAGTAAAAACTTAAGATACACATGCACATCCTCGTGCATGCATGCTGTTGAATTTGTGACTCTCCACCTACTCACAGGCGTGGAGGGCAGTGTGGGGAGAACGCGGGCTCCGGCTCAGGTGTGGCTCAAATCGAGGCCAGCTGCAGTCCCAGGGATGTGCGTGACACCAGGCACATTAACTCTCCCCACCTGCAGATGGGAGCCGAAGCACGCACAGGGCTCGTGGGAGCGTCAAACGAGAACATGATGAAGAGCCTCGGAAGGTCCGCCTTACTTCAGGGTTTAAGGAACACCTGACGTTACCCTCCCTTACCAGTCTCTACCGCTATCCCTAGAACCCAACAAAACCAAAACGCAACAAAAATCTGAGTTGTTTTATACACACTTAATTTTCATTGGTAGCTGTCTGCAGCACACATTGCCGTTCCTCGTGTGGAGCTGGTCCGTGCACGGAACACAGCTTCCTTCTTACGTTCCTTCCATATACAAAAGGCCTTTGTCCTTCTTTCCTACTACCTGTCTTATTTTGGTCTTCATGTACACTTTGGGCTTCTCATACGAGAAGCAGTATGATGCTGCAGCTTGTGTGTTGGACTTGCTTTCCTTAACATTATGATCTCAAGGGTGTCCATCCCTACAAATGAAACAAACTTATCTGTCTTCCCAGAGCAGTATTCCAGTGCGTAAAAATATCCCATTTCTTTATTCCCTCCTCCCTTGGACATCTAGGCCACTTCCGAGATTCAGATACCAGGAGCTGTGCTGCTGTGTGCTGCAAACGCGCTGTGCACGGGCCGGAGTGACGGCTCTACTTCAGGAAGATGCCCAGGGGATGAGTAGGTCGCCTGCAATGGCTATTTTTAGTTTTAAAACAACAAGGAGATTGCATCTTATTCCAGAAAGAATGGCCATCATCAAGAAATGAAATAATGAGGGGTTTGACCCCCGGCCTACCTGCCGGCCCCGCCCCCGAAGGATGAGACGGCAATTGGGACTGGGCATGGCGCCGCGCACCTGTAATCCCAGGGTTTGGGAGGCTGAAAAACAGGAAGGAGCACGAGTCTGATCCGTATACTTAGACCCTGTACTAAATGCTTTAAAAAAATGAAATAACGAATGCTGATGAAATTATGGGGAGAAAAGGAACTTGTATGCCTTGTTGATGGGCGCGAACTAGTCAACTACTATAGAAATCGGTACATACATGCGTGGCAGGAAAAATCTTCATTAGGCACTTAGCAGCCTTTATTCCTTTTATGATAATGTTCTGCAGGCAAAAGGGGCTATTTGTAAGTGACCATTCAGAGGCGTGGATTCTGAGGAGGCTGAGGAATGTCCCTGTCCTCACTGTCTCCCCCGTCCATTCTGGAGGGACCCCTGCAGGAGACCAGAAGAGAATAAAGCAGGCCTGGGGGGTATAGAAAACGAGGAGGAAGCTTATAAAATTGCCCAAATCCACCAGAGTTGAAGTTACACAATATATACATGTACCACAGCATCACGATACCTCCTTAGCAGCTACCGCGTCTGTTTTATGTATCAGACAAAATTTTTTTAAAAAACTGTAAAGGTCACACACAGGCCCTCCATGTGGCCTTCCATTCCTCATTTACCCCCTGCTTCCCCATCCCTCCTTTTTGTGGTACTGGGGATTGAACTCGGGACCCCACGCTTGCCAGGCAGGCGCTACTGAGCTATCGCCCCAGCCTTCGTCCCTCCTTCTGTGCTCCCTGCTCTTTCACTTCTTCCCCCTCCACCCTCCACGCTCCTCTACCTAGCCAGAGGTCTTCCTGACTCTCCGGAACGTCCAGTAACAAGACTGGTCCGGCAGAAGGCACTTAGCCTCAGAAGGGTTCGCAGGTGAAACTCCAAGCGATCTACTTAAATTTGAATTTCAGAAAAATGACAACAAATTTGAACAGAAGCGTGTCTCCTTCAATATTTGACACATAATTTTTTTAATCATTGTTTTTCTAAAAACTAAATTTAACTGAAGGTAGTAGATTTTTATTAGTTAAATCTGGGGATCCCGGCTTCGCATAACTGCACCCCTCGACTGCAACGTGCCTACGGAGCCGCATTTTATTTTCAGGGCGGTGCTGCGGCAGAATCCAGCCAGCTCCTCCTCTAAGGCCTTTCTCCAACCTGACCCTTCTTGGTAACGCAGGGAATGACGCTGTGGGCCGCTGCTTGTTCGGTCCTTTCTCCCAGCTGTTTCAGCCCTGGGTGGGGCAGGGGACCGTTCCATAGGCCTGCTCTCAGAACCACCTCTTCCCCCAGCAAAGAGAGAAGACTGATCTCCGGAAGTTGGATCCACTGGTGAGATTTAGGTCAGGTGGGAGAAGGTACCTGTTGAGAAAGAGGTTTTTAAAATGCCGACAATAGTAGAGCACCTAGTATAGTAGGAAATGATCACTGGTGCTTTAGCTATGAAAAGAGGCGGCAGCTGTACGGAAACGTGACAAGCTAAAGCACCAGCTGCAAGGAGCAAAACGAAGCAGCGAGAGCCCGCCCTGTGCTTCCACCCCCACGTCACCCCTAGTGACGGGCGTGGGGCACCTCATTTTAGCTGATTGCTGTTAAACAGAATCTTTCCTTTAACCAGAATGAATTGGATTTCTTATCCTTTTATATGAGCCCCTCTTTGGTGCAATGATTATTTCTTCTTAAATCTATTCCAAGGTAGAACTAAAGAAACACTCGTGTTGCTAGTATAATCTCCCTAATATCCAGGCCCGATTTTTTAAAATCCTGTTATTACGATTAAATCTCTTCATAGGCTCTAGGGGGAATGGGCAGAACTGGTCTTTGATGCCCTTCCTGAAAGTCCTGCCAGGGGGCTGTAACTTCAGCACCCACATTAATAGTTATTCTCCACGTGTTCCCTGGCACAGTGAGAACCAAACAAAAGAAAACTGGCTTGATGGTAGGGACCTTGGAGCTCTGAGAAGACGACGACAATTTTCCTTACTGCCTCGGAATAGTCAACTTTAGTCTCCTTCCCTGGAGAGATTTAAGAATTGGGCGGATGGACCAGATAGATCGCGTCCAGGAATTCAGTTAGGTCCGCTGCACTCGGGTCTGAGGGACAGCTGCGCGTGACCCTGTGACTCCTGCATTCCACACTGAAGTAAAGATTCACTAGGATCTCTTGTATTTTTAAAAATATGTACATTATAATACAAAAATATAGAAATTATCAAAAAGTGTGGGCATTCTATATTATTAAGATTATTGCTAAAAGACTTTATAAGAATTTTTTCTCTTCAAAGAAAAAAACACTAGAGAAGAAGGAAAGGAAGAAAACAAGAAATGAAGGGTTTCTGGCTTATTCAGTTACCAAAAAAATGACACTAACGAAAAACTGCTTCTTGACTTTGTTGGTCTAGTACTTAGTACTGATTTTAACGACAGCCCCGCCCATGTACGTGTAACCAGTTCCAACGTGCAGTCTGTTCACATATGCTTGAACAATGGGCTCCTGTGTGAGTTTTACAATTTACTTCAATGGTTTTTAAGTTAAAGTTTCCATATTTATATTAATTATTTAGAAAAGTGGATCTTGGATTTGCCACCAAGTAGCTGGATGTAGTGCTGCCTTTGAAAGTACATGTGGGGGCCGGTGAGATAGCTCAGGAGACTGAAGCGCCTGCTCAGGCCGGCTTAGGCAAGCACAGGGACCATGCACCAGCCCCACAGGGTGGGCTGAGCTAGCCAGGGTCCTGGCAGTGATGCACACCTGTAATCCCAGGGCTGGGGAAGCTGAAAGCAGGAGGATCACCACAAGTCAGAGCTGTGTAGTGAGACCCTGTAACATTCAAATACATTTGAGGAGAGAAAAAAAAATACAAACCACAAATATAAATGAAAAGGGAAGGGCGAGCTAAACCACTCAGTGGATTAAAGCGTCTGCAAGCAGGCATGGAGGCAGAGGGTTCAATCCCCAGGCCTGCCATGCCAGCCCCACCCTGGGGGTGTGCTTGAGCTGGTGCTGAGACTGGGCATGGTGGTGTGCGCCTGTAATCCCAGTACTTGGGAGGCTGTAAACAGGAGAATCACTACAAGTCCAATCTAGTAGTGAAACCCCACCACCCTATAGACCCTTCCCTAAAATACAGGGAAAAAAAAATGAAAAGGCAAGCCATGTGTGGTATTGCATTCCTGTCATCCCAGCACTTGAGAGGCTGAGGCAGGAGGAGTAAGCCATTAGTTCAAGGCCAGTCTGAACTACATGGCCAGACCCTGTCTCAAAAAAGACAGAAAGACACACAGACAAAATCAGCCTCACATACTGGAACACATCATGCAGCATGTGTTACTTCACTGAATCAAAACTGGTTTCTGCCTCTAGAGGAGCCCTGCAGATTCTCGTGGGGTGGGAGCTCCTCTCTCGGGGACACAGGTCCTCCCAGCTGCTGCTGGCCCTCCCATCATAGTAAATGAACCATGGAGCAAAGTCTTCCACCCTGCCTGCAGACAGCAAAAACCCATACCAGTGTTCAGCTTTGTATCTACGTCTCCTAAGCCTCCTGGGTTCAAAGGCAGGGCACTCGGAAGGTTATCGGATCTTCAAGGCTTAGTCACTTGCTTAATAGGAGAGTGGAAGAGGTGGGTTGAGGTTTTATCTCCCTTCCCTGCTCCTCACATGTCAGTCCCTCCCTCTCTCTCTGTTGGTCTCTCCACGCACCAGTCTCTCTCTCTCTCTTATGGACTCTACAAACTGAGACAAAAAGATAAGCTTTTCCTTCTCTAATTTGTTGACATCTGCTGCTGTGTCCTAGTAATGGGGAAAGTGACTACAGCACAGACCCAGAGTTCTGTCTGCCCTCCAGCCCTGTATTCCATCCACTGCTGCCTGGAGCATAGGTAGGCCTGCCCTCCAGGGAGCCCACCGGCATGGGGTGCACACATCCTGAAGGCTTTCCCATTGCCATTATGCGCTTACACTTCTGCACACTGCTGGGCTGCGAGATTCTGGAGGCCAGAATTTTTTTAAACCTTGTGTTCTGATACAGAACGCAGTGCAGCACCAAGGTTTGTAGAATGGACAAATTCGTGCAAGAGCAGATGTCCTGTCTCAGTTTCAGCTTGGGCCACGCAGGACATGAAGGTGTCTCTAATCTGGCTCATTGTCTATGACGAAGAAAGTCAGAGGGAAACCTTGACTAAGAAACATTAACATTTAAATGAAAAGCACTTAGTACTATTTGATTGAGTATCCTAACAACTCAG